TTGAATGAAGAGTGACTTGTCCTGGGCCACCTGGCAGTTAGTAGCAGAGACAGAACTTGAACCCAGGCCTCCTAACTCTGGTCCAGAGTTCTTTCCCCTGCAAGATTTTGCCTTTCCCAAAGCACCTTAGGAAATGGAGGGGGGTTAGGAAGGCGCCCTCCTGGGTGGGCCAGGCCCTCGTTCATGCTGAGGACAAGGGAGCAGAGCCCTTGTGTCCTGCTGGAGGCCTGCAAACTTTCTGTCTCCTTTAGGGTCGCTGGTGGTCCTCATTCATCCAAGGCAAGCAAGTGATTTTCTGGTTGGCTTCCTTTTTTGATTGCAATTGAGCTGAATCTTCAAATGGAGTTTGTCAGGAAAATTGGTGCAAATTAGAGATGAGCCTTCTGCTCTCCACGGCTGGTTGAAATTGAGAGGCCTCAGGGAGGTGGTCAAGAGGGGTCTCTCCCTGTGCGGTCCTCTGGTTCCCGAGGCTCCTTCTCTGTAATCAGAGGGGCCTGTCTCACCGTGAGCATCCTTTGTCTTCCTCAGCAAAACCTCTGCATACTTCCTCCTATTGTCTCTCTTTCTCTCCTTCCTCTCTCCTTTAAATCAGCCCAGCCTAGTCTCAGAAATGTGCTAAAAGCCCTGGAGGTCCAACTGTAAGCATGGAGGCTCCAGCTCCAGAAGGCCAGGCCTCCAGCTGCCCTCTCAGACACAGCGCTCCTGCATCCGCTCCTTGCTTCCCCAGGCCTCCCCCTGCAGCCTGAAGAGTCTCCTGTTCTGCGGACTGCGGCCCATGCCTCTCTCCCCCTCCCCCACCTCACAGGGCAGATTCCCACCCCTCTAGCTTGTACCCAGAAGCAGTTCCCTCTCATTGCTATACCTCTCACCCTGGGAAAACATTCCCTCCCCTTGACTTTGAACCCTGTCAGCCACGTATATCACGTACATCACGTACCCTTGACTGCAAGTGATCTCTTCATTTGCTAATCAAAGTTTTGAACAAGGCTGCCCCAGCTAATCCATGTTGGCTTTTCAGCCAAGGGGAATCATCAGTGAATGACAGGGTCAGGCTTTCCAGGGACTGCCTTCTAAGCAGGGATCTCTTTAGACAGGGGCTCTGGGGGCAACTCCACCAGTGTGGGGCCACTCAGGATATTTGAACTTGAAAGGAAGGCTCACCATCAGCATCTTCAGAGGCCTCTTGGGATACCAGTCATGACAGATATTTCATATTGGACTTTACAGGGTTCAGAAAAGAGGAGGAGTAGGGGGAGTGTCCCAGGCCCCGCTACCCCTCCAAGTACGGGCCCAAGGCTGCTGCCCCACCTGAGGGAGAGACCTGTCTCTCAGCCCCGCTAAGGGGGAGCGGAGGCTCCTCCAGGATGGGTGGTCAGGCCAGAGCACCCTGGCTTCTCAGGAAAGAACTTGGGAGAGAGTGGACATGTAGCCGTAAGTCTTCCTTGACTCCCCTCCCCCATTTTTTCCTCAGACTCCCAGAGTCAGGAATTTGTACTTTTGACATGTAGTGAGTTGTTGAGATGAACCATGCTTACCTCAAATCTTAAGCAGGTAACAAAACTGACTTCCTCCTTCAGATGATGTAAAAGAGTGTAGGATGAGGCTGGGAAAGGGTTTGGCGCTACAATGTTTTAGGGAGGAGAAAGGATGTCCCCTTTTCAGTACTAGAAAGTCTTGTAGGTTGGTATGATGTAAGCACATGTTCCTGTCCCCTGCATGTCCCTAGGCTTAGAAGCAAGCAAAAATGAAGATGTGATCATCTGACAGTCATTGCCCTTTCAAAAGTTGTCACTGATTGGATTTAAGATAATGTAATGAAGCTTCTTAGACTTTAAAATTTTTTTCTTGCTTAGTGTTTTCATTAAAAAGATGATTGAGGGTCTTTAGATGGACATATCTACATGATATCTACATAAAATTCACTTTTAGGAAGGACTTTTGTACCAATTTAAAAATCAATAGAATAGAATAGTGGTGGATGTATGGAGTGGAATTAATCTCATGCTGCGATATTCAACTTGGTTACAAATCAAAGTACCTCATTACTACAGGTTCAACTTTGGCCCAAACCCTTTATCACAGGAAGATTTTGAACTCCAGGTACTAGCTAACTCGTGTGAAGCAGTAAGTGACTCAGCACTATTAAAAAACACAAAACACAAAAGTATTGAGGTGTTTGTTACATCTGTAACAACATCTGTCTATGACGCAGGAAGAGGGAGCTCACCAGACACAAAATCTGCTGGCGCCTTAATCTTGGATTTCCAGCCCCCAGAAGGGTGAGAAATAAATTTGTATTCTTTATAAACCACCCAGTCTACTAGATTCCGTGAGAGCAGTCCGAATGGACTGAGACAGCTCCTGGTCCCTCTTTCTCTCTGTGAGACTCTAGATGGGACAGCTCTTTTCCAGAGTTCACTGCAACACTCTGTAATGTTGTTTTTAGGGAACAGAATAAGATTGCCCTATACCAGTCTGTCCTTCCCTGCTGGGGGTCACTCAGGGTTCATAGAAACTGCTTCACCACTCACATGCTGCCATTTTTAACCCTCCGTGGGTTTGGGGTTTCCTCTTTCCTTCCTTGTTTTCTTTAATTTGCACTCTCTCCTCTTTCTTCAGAGAAAGAGCAGATGCTCTCAGTGTATGCATATGTCACAGTTCCAGGGAACACAGAGAGAACAATTTGGATTTAGGTATTTATTCCTATTTTTATATGACCATTAAAATCTCTCCATGCAAATAAAACTGTTAATATTATATAGTAACACAGCAGTTACCACACACTGCTTTGAATAACATCGTTCAAACTTCCATTTTTGCAATAAGAACAGATTCAGACAATAGTATCAAATGACACTCTAAAGAGGGATTTTCTGACTTCTAATGTTCACGGGATTAAAGACATGCTATGAGTGAACAAACCAGACACCACTGCATGTAAAGCAGAAAGGAAAGAAATCAAGGCAGGAGAACCAGTGTCACCACACTGCCCAGTTGTCAATTCTGCCTTTAACTGGCAAGCTAGGTGAAGGGCGTTTAAGCCTGGAACGTGAGGATTTTGTAACAGCTGTACTACGATTGTCTGGATTCCATACGGAAGAGTCATTTGTTCTGACTGAAGATCAGAAAAAGCTTTTTGGCAGAGGTGTCATTGTACTTTGATGAGCAGGTCATTTGAAGAAACTGAAAAATGGTGACAGGAGAGGGAAGAGAAGTAAGAAGGGGAGGACGGTGCTCTCGGGGTGCTGCCCACCCCCCTTGGCACTCACCATTCCCATGAAGCAGACTTGTGTGCTGCAGAGTCAGACTCCCCCCCAGCAGGACGCCACCACCAGTGACTGATGGGGGTTAGTGAAAAACACACCAGCTCTACTCGCAGGTGGGGACAGCTCTGAAGTGGGTTCTACATGGTTTCCCAGAGTTCCCCAATAGAAACAAACCTTGGTTACCCACCATGGGAATGCTCAATAATGTTCCCTTGATTAATTTCCTTCCCTCCCCATTATCCTACTGGTGTTTCCTTCCATTCTTTTTTCTTTAATTGACCCATAGCTGATCTACAATTTTGTGTTAATTTTTGGTGTACAACATAGTGATTCAGTTAGAGATATACATTCCTTTTCTTATTCTTCTTTAATATAGGTTATTATAGATATTGAATATAGTTCCCTGGGCTCAACAGTAAGACCTTATTGTTTATCTGTTTTATATATTGTAGTTAGTATTTACAAATCCTGAACTCCCAGTTTATCCCTCCTCCTGTTGGTGTTTTCTTGATCATCTTTCCCACCCCAAAATAACTGCACTTGAATCCATGTCTCAGAGTCTGAGAATCCACCCTAAGACAAAGGATGCCTCAGTAGCTGGGACAAAGACCTGTAGGGGGGATGAGCTGGGCATACTTGGGGCACACTCGCTCCAAGGTAGCAGGCGGTTTGGAAGTCTAGCAGAAAATGAGACTAGAATGACTGGGGTCATGAAGCAAACTTTCTTCCTCGGTCTTCAAACACGTGCTCCTCTGGCACAGAGTCTAGTGGCCATGTGCTTTTCTTTCAGCCAATCCATTCTGAATCGCCTGCTTACTTACACTTGAGACCCACTAAGCTGATGTCTCCTTTTGAGGAGAACATTGACTTTCCTTTTGAGCTTCCTGAACTTCTGTGTAGGAAAGGCTGGGATTTGGGATAACGGCCAAGTTCTTAGAACAGTCTAGGCTGTTCTGACATGAACCAGATGCTTCCTGATAGGCAGAAGAGTGTGAGTGGTTTCAGCTAGTAATGCTAGCTCTTATAATCTCCGAGGAAATGTTTGATGTGGAAGAGATGCCCCTAGCCTCAGACAGCACCATGAGAAGCCCAGCTCACAGCGTTTGGCACACCCACTAGCAAACAGGAAGAAACTATTTTTCTGGCAGTCCCTGGGGACATTGTGATGTCAGAGCTGTTCACAGGGCTTTGCAGGTGGAAGGGTGTCCATCAAATACCATCCTGTCTACTGAGGGCCTCTTGGGCTTCAGAAAATAGCCCCTGCCCTGGGGAGTCTCTGAGACAGTGGTGAGTGGCCAGGAAGTTTCCCAACAAGGAGGCCCAGGGATGGTTCCTGCTCACCCAAAAGCAGGGGGAAGGATAAAGGGAAAGGCACGTCTGCTTTATTGGAAAGGTGCAGGTGTTGGCCAATGAGGAAGTAAGATGGTCTTGTCATGCTGGTGAGGAAAGGAAAACTGTATCATTCATCCAGCCCATATTGGTCAAATGCTGCCTTTGAGTCAGGTCCGGGGCTGGGTGCCAAGGGGAGGAGGTGGGGAGAAGGAAACATATGAGCCTAAGGGTTTCCCGGTCCAGGGGCATCAAGAAGGCATATACACATCTAACTAAATTACAGCAGCTGTCTGGCCAGGGCCATGAAGTGGTGCAATGTTCCTGAGTGGACACGAGTTCACATCTGCGTTAGAGTGGGGATGATGGACGGGACGACGGGAGGAGGAGATGGCATCTGAGGTAGCCATGTAGGATGTACAGGTGTGACATATTGATACGGTCAATATGTCACTGGGGGTGGGTTTTTTCCCAAGGATGTTATTGGAAAGGGTCAGAAGAGCCACTTTCGGCATGACTCCTGCTCAGGCTCACTGCTGGCCTGAAGGCAGTGGTGCCACCTGGGAGCCACCTTCCAGCAATGTGAGCATTGCTTCCCTTTTGTCACTTCTGGCACTCGGGCCTTGAACAGGAGACCTGGGTCTAGTCCTGGACCATTCCGGCAGTGAGGGAGGCCACGTTCCCTCTCGGGCTGCGGGGAGCGGTTTGCCACTTAGACCCCAGGGGAGTTGGGATGCTCAAAGACATCAGTGTTAGGGAAGGGTGGGCCCACAGGGCTGTCTCCATCCACCCACCCCAAGCGAGAAGCCCTGCAGGGCTGAGCTAGTGGATTCTGCCAGGAGGAAGGATACTCCATCCCTCAGGTGTTTTCATTTGTGTTCAGGTGTGTGTGTGTGTGTGTGTGTGTGTGTGTGTGTGTGTGTGTTAGGAAATTCACTGGAATGGCCCTCCCTACCATTTGAGAATTCCTTCAACTGACATTTACCCCAGTCATGTCCCTCCCCCTCAACACCTTCCACCCCCAATCTAACCACACACACCAGTTTGCCCACAGTACACAATGTGCTAGTGCCCAGCCGACTCTCAGGGAACTGGCTGGTCTCCAGGCTCAGCTGGGCTGGCCGCACGAGGAGGGCTACCAGCCCTCCTCCTTTACTTGTGAGCTTGTGAATGCATGCTCCTGCATGCCAAGGTGCAGCGGGAGTCTCATGGTGGAATTAACAACGTGCAAAGCTGAAATGCAAACAGACTAAGGCCCCTGCAAAACTCTCAGAAACCAACCAGAAGACTGATGTACTGCCATTTGAGGGGGGAGCTCACCCCTTTTCTCACTGGCTTATTTTAAGTCTGACTGTTCTCTTAGAGGAAGTTCTTCCTTGGATGGAGTTCGGGACATTCTTGTCATGACCTTGACTTCTAGTCCCAGATGTGTCTTCTGACAAGACCAAAACCCTGTCCCTTGTTCAGTGTCCTAACTCCTGCTCTTCTGGGCTCTTTTCTAATGATTCCCATAAGCTGCTTCTTGGAGGCACAGACTTTCTGACTTGGTGCTCTTTAAAGGGTGTTTCTTGGCTCTGTTGCACTGTCTGCTTCTGCAGGCTTTGAATTGTTCAGCACTGACCTCCCCAGGTCAAGAGGACATCTAGTCTATGCTGGGCATTGTAGGGGGAGACACACAAGGACCCCGTGTTCTGATGTCTCACAGTCCAAGAAAGGAGCTATCATCCACCTGCAAATAAGTGCCTCAAAAGAGGCACAGAGAAGGCCCAGAGATTATAGACAGGAATCCAGAGTCACATCCAGCTTGGTGATGGTGGTGGTAGTGGGGTGCAGGGGAGATGGGGTGAGAATCAGGAAAGACATCTGGGAGAAGGTGGCTCTGAATTGGGTTAAGAAGGATGTAGAGGATTTGGTCAGGTAAAGATGGGGGGATGATCCAGAGAACAATGAGCCGGAAATCGAAAAGGCCAAGGCAAGTACACGAAACTGTGAAGACCTCATTTTGGCAGTTGTGTGGGGCGTGGCTGGGGAATAAACAGAGTGGATGTTGTGAGGTAAGTGGGACCTACCCCCCAGGAACCTTAACAGTGTGTTATAGAATTTGGACCTGGGAGCTGCATATTCTCAATCTGTCTCTCCAGATCTGGTGTCCACTCCATGTGGTAGATTAATTACAAAGACTATCATCAATTATTCACCTCCCTGTATCCATGCCCCCGCCATGTACCTTTCACTGCCTCTCCTGCTCTCATTCTGAGCTCAGCCTTGTGACTTGCTTGCCCAATGGGATGTTAGCAGTTGTGCATAAACAGAGGCTTAAAAAGAGATTATCCCTTGGGGTTTGTCCTCTCTTGCTGCTCTTGGACTCCTGCCACCATGTGGCTGAGCATGCAGGAGGACAAGAGGTCATGTGGGGGAGCACTGACCACAGATGCACAGGTGAGCCCTGATCTGCAGAACTCCCCAGCTGAGCCCAGGCCAAACTGCTGCTCTGCTGAATAGTGAGCTAAATAGTGGATATTGTCTTGAGGCACTAATTTTGTAGTGGTTTGTAGAAGTTCCTTGAAATGCCCCTCTTGCTCTGGGCCAGAAGCCTGACATATAAGGGCGGCATCAGAAGTCCTCAAGCTCCTTACCTTCTGCCAGCAAGAGGAGATCGAGGTGGAAGCATTTATCTCCCTAGTCCTCACCCTGCTGGGCTGTATGATGTATCCACAGCCTTACCAATGGCCCTGCCCTACAGCATGGCTCATTTTCAGGGCTCTGGCAATCATTCCTTTGATGCTGCCAGCCCTGGGGTTCTTTAACCTTCCTTAGCCCTGCCCACACCTTTGTCTCTGCCCCTTTACCCCATCTGAGTGGCCACCTGTTTCCTGGAAGGACACTTACTGGCATACCTGTCCTGTGAACAGGTAAGATCTATTGACTATTTTAGTAAATGGAAACTTCTAGATTGGGAAGAGTGGGATGGAACTCTTGCTGTAAAGAAGTCCTGCTCTGAACCTCCCACAAATGCTACTTTGGGCTTGGACTTTTGGAAAGTCATGCTGGCGAAGGAAACTGCCAAGGAGCAACTTTCCCAGGCTGGCTCTCGGGAGCCATCTGGAGCACTGCTCTCTACAGAGAATAGTCATCGCCCCTGTTCCTGCCAATTCCCCAAGTTAGAGGATGACAAATGAGCCCTTCCAGTGCCCCCTGGCACCCTTACTCCTCTCAAGAGAATTTTTCTCAAGTATTTTAATCAAGCATTAGGCCACTCGTTAAGCAAATCAGAAAATCGGCTTCCTGAGGACCTTGGTTAGTGAGAGCATAGCCTTCCCCCATTTTTGCTAACAATCATCCACGCAGTCAAGACCCTCCAGTAGCATCACTCCCACCAGTCTGAGGCTCTGTGCAAGGCCTTGTACCACTAATAGTAATAATTGTTTTTATTTCAATTCTTACTTTTATTTACTGAAGTATAGTCGGTTTACACTATTGTGTTAATTTCTGGTGCACAGCGTAGTGATTCAGTTATATGTAAAGTTATTCATATGCTTTTTCATGATAGGCCATTACATTGTATTGAATACAGTTCCCTGTGCTATACAGTAGGACCTTGTTGTTTATCTATTTTATATAAAGTAGTTAATATCTGCAAATCCCGAACTATTGATGAAGATGATGACGATAAATGGCAGAGCGAACTGAGGATCTACCCCAGGTGTCACCATTGCCTCCAATGGGGCAGCATTCAGACCTCTGTTGTCAGGTTCATATAAGAAGCTTGGTGATGTAGTCAGGCGTGATAGGGCTGGTGTTAGTAGAGGTGATAGCATTTCTCATCTAGAAGGGTGGAGTTTGGAAGGACATTTATCCTCTCAGTGGTGAGAAGCGTTTTATTTTGGAAACTCCAGAAAAAAACTAACCCCAACACAAGCCAGCCTGCAAGTCTGGCTGCCATTTTTCTCCACTGGCCCAGGCACAGGATCAGAGCTGCCCCCTCCCTCTGGGGGAGCTGCCCTTCCTCTCTCAGGGCAGCAGCTGTGACTGCAGGCAGACAGAAGGCACTGGCATTCTACATGTGAGGCCATCACATTTGTAAGACACACAGCGGGGACTTTGGGAGACTGAGGTTTATTTCTGAAGAGATGATGACAGAATCCAGATAAGGAAGAAAGAGATTCGGTGACAGTTGAAGGGATATTGAGGGATTCATGTTTGCATTCACCTTTTAGTTCTTTATTGTGTGGGGTTCTTTATTCTGTGCATAATAGGATGATTAGCATCCCTGATCCCAGCCCACTAAATGCCAAGAGCACCTCCCAGTCATTGCAACCATCAAAATTGTCCCCCTCCCATTCTGATCACTTGTGAGGTTGGGGTGGAAAAGCAGTGTGGCCCCTGGGCAAGAAACACTGAAAGGGAGAGAAAGGGAGAGAGTTAGGGAAGAAGGGAGATCTTTGTGGGCAATTTCCAAACTTCCAAACATCCAAGGTATATCCACGTGGGACAGCCCCCTACCCCTACCCTCCAGAACCCTCACTCCTCTCTTTGAATCTGTGTGCACATGGCATGGTAACAATGACCCTTAAGTAAAGAAACACACTCTCCCTGCAGACCAGAGAAGGTGAGGCGTTGAGGCAGGTGAGGCAGGATTTGGAACAGGTAGGGAAGTCTTCCGTTTTCCCTGATCAGTATTGCCCAACGGCCTCCACGGTTATGGATGGTGAGGACCGTCTCTCTGCAGGTGAAGGCCTGGCGGAATGAAAGTCAGGTCCATCTTGAGTCCTCCTCTCTCAGAAGGCCTGGTCTGCGGGGCAGAGGAAAGGAAGAAACTGGCCGCGGGGTTACAAGGGTCATTAGCTCAAACTTCTTCCTACTGGTCTCCGCCAGGGATGAGCTCCCCCTGGGGTCTCCCAGGGCTGACTCCTTCTCTTAATTCAGGTCTCTGCTAAACTACATCTCTCTTCCCTATCCCCACACTCTCTATCCCTCATCCTAGTTATTTTTTTTCAAAGTACTTGTCAGCATCCTAGGTTATTTATTCACTTATATGAGCTTTCATGGCTGTAGGTTCACTGGAGCAGTAACTTAGTCTGTCTCATTCACTGTTGTACCCCCAGTACTTGGCATGCAAGAGGTTCTCAATAAATATTGACTAATCTAACAGGATTAGTGTTTAGGTTCCATGCTAAGTAACTTGCATGCATTGTCTCATATAAACCTCGAGGATTCTTTAAGACGAATACTATATTACCCCCATGATTTGTAGAAACCAAGATTTGGTGAGGTTAAATAACCTTGGAGAAAAATAATAGTAAAGTCTTCCAAGCTGGGCTATGTTGTGGTTAATTCTCCCCTGGAGTACCTGAAATCAAACACTTCTCACCGCTGAGAGGATAAATGTCCTTCCAAGCTCCTCACTTCTAGATGAGAAGTATATGGTAACCCTACTACAAGGTCACACAGCTATTCGTTAAGTGGTGCAATCAGGGTTTGATTGACTCCAATGCCCACAGTCTTGTAGGAAAATAAACCAAGATTCAAATTACCTACTTTAAGGGAGCAATGCTCAGTGCCCCAAGAGAGCTGTGGCTGCAGGCAGGATTATGGGGCTGTAGTAGAGGGGCAATCCTTCCCAGCTGGAAGCAGGAATGGACCAGAAGAGAGGGCTGCACTAGCTGAGCCTGCAGGATGGGTAGTCTTTAGGTGTGTGGAGATGGAGCAGCGAATGGGGATGTGAGCCAGAACGGAAGAGGCGTGTTTGGTTCTCCATGGATTTGGTGGCTCTGGAGTGAAGATCCACATAGGAGGGTGGTGAGAGATGGCCCTGGACAGAAAGTTGAGAGTGGAGAGTGGTGGAGACACCAGAGTGAGGGTTTTAGACTTTGTCTTGGGCAGTGGGAGGTCCTCGAGTGACAGTGACAATAAGTAAGACAAGAGGACCATTCCCCACCAAAGGCCACCAAGGCTTCATTTTCAGCAGGAAGTCTCCGAAGTGAGACCCAATGAGAAAGACGCACTGCCAGGACTTGCTGGAGGGAGTCCCTGAAAAGAAGGAGTGCCTGGGAATGTCAGGGGCTGTTTCTTGGACATTTGTGTCCCTGTTCCAAACCGCTTCCGTCAGTGTAGACAGCAGCAGCAGGCAGGGGCCGGAGAGCTTTCTGGGCTGATTGATTCAAAAATACAAACTGGGATTCAGTCTGATCCTGAACCACGCTTCCAGCCTCACCTCTGCGTTGCCCTCCCCACAGCAGGCCGGTGCACACCCACCATGGCCTCCCACCCTTGTCCACTCGATGATCTAGTGACCGCATGCCGCTCTAGGGTGCCTCCCCCAGCAGCCCCCACCCCACCTCCTCTGGACTCCCGGCTGCAGGCGGGTCCCTGTAAGAGCCCAGCACTGTTTCCTTGCTGCCTCCTGCACTCCCCCCGCTGCAATGGCCCTGGTACCTGGAGGGCACCTTATCCTCCACAACGTGACGTGTGCCCAGCTCAGCGTCTGGTGCTAAGGGGGTCTGGCGGTGCTAGTTGGATGAATGAAATTCTTCTCTCAAGGATGCCTTTAAAGTTGCTTTTCTTTCTGTAACCAGGGCAGTGGCTGGAATGGTTGGAATACGGCCTTAGTTTTCCTTTGATTTTACTCCTCTGCGTGTTGGTGACTCTCTTGCCATTTCTGGTCCTGGGGGACTTCAGGTTGTAAATTCCCTCTGAGGTGTGATGCTTCTGGGGCTGCTGCACTGTCTCCCATCTGTTCTCCCCATCCTGATCTGATCTCCTCTCCCTTCCTCTCCAGAACATTCCAGGACCACCAAGCACCGGTGTAGTCAGACTTCTGACCATTCTCCCAGTGGTCACTTGGCCGAATATGAGAGACATGGCAGCTCCCCTGAACCCCAATTAAACAAGAAAGATTTTCATCTCAGCAACTCCTCCTTAACGGGAGCCAAACCTCACAACGTCACAACACCAGTGGGTCTCCTTGACCTTCAGCCTCCCATGCCCGTCACTTAAGATGAGGGCTTCTGAATCGTTCAACTAATTTATTACACAGGAAGGGAGGTGGCATTAAGAGGTCTTCACTGAGTAGCCTTTTCAAATGATGAGATCACTTTTTGTTTTTGTCTTAATCCAACTACAAACTCTTGGGCTTAAAGCCCTATATTTAGCATGCTCTTGCAAGCTCCCTAGTCAATTTCAAAACAACATGGCAGTTACTCTGTTGGCTGTGAGCAAGCTCACTTAGATTGAGGCTGGGCCACCTTAGCTGTGGCCCTGAGGGTTCTGGGAGTCCCTTTGGGCCCTAACTGAGGGTTTGGTCTTGGGCTGGCTGCTGGGAGCATGGCGGAGGCTGAAGAAGCCAGCATAACTCAGATGTGTCCTTGTCTTCTGAGGGCCCCCTGACATCCACTCTGTCACAAGTTGACTTGGGTCCCCCACAGAGTGAGACTTGGGTTACCTGCCTCAGGATCTCAGCCAGAGCCCCATTTGGAAGCCCAGGAGACATGAACAAGTCGTACTGTAGACATTCACCAACATACCATGATTTGAACCTACTCACTCCACACAGATATGAGCCCTAAAAACTCCTTTCCTACAGAACAACCCAGACAACACATTCTGGCCTCAAAAGCCCTAACCCACCTTTCCACCTCCCATCTCCTAGGACTCACCTCATAGATTTGTTTCTGTCACACAGAACAAGCAAAAATTTCCTAGTGTTCTCTAAGCCTTTCCATCTCCACGCCTTCACTTCTGCTCTTTTCTCTGCCAACAATGCCATACCAGTTATCTTCCTTTTTTTTTCAATGAAGGTACTAGGGATTGAACCCAGAACCTCATGCATGCTAAGCATGTGCTCTACCATTGAGCTCTACCCATCCCCCTCCAGTTATCTACTAACATAACAATTTTACCACAAACTTAGGGGCTTAAAATAATACACATTTAATATCTCATCATTTCTTGGTCTCATCTCAAGATTCAATGGGAGAAGGATCTACTTCCCAGTTTACATGGTTGTTAGTAGGATTCAGGCCTTTGCAGGTGGTTGGACCAAGCGCCTCAGCTTCTTGCTGGCTGTCAGCCAAAGGTTGCCCTCATTCCTAGCTGGCTTTTGGCCAGAACCTGCACTTGGTTCCTTGCCATATGGGCTTCCCCAAAAGGGCTGCTTGCTTCTTCCAAGCCAGCAAGGCAGAGGGTCTTCTAGCAAGATGGGCATTCCAATCTCATGTCATGTAATTGTGGAAGTGACCTCAGTCGTCTTCGTGTATTCTACTGGTTAAGAAGCAAGTCACAAGTCCTGCCCACACTCAAGGGAGGGGTTTGCACGGGGCATGGACATCAGGAGGAGGGCATCACGGGGCCACCTCACATCCGTCTGCCACACATGCCCTTCTCCCAATCTCCCTATCACTCTGAGTCTGAAGAGAATTTCATGAAACTTCCTTTAACCATCCCAACCAGAATTTTCTCTCTTTTCTGAGTGTCCACACAGCTTTGCCTGAATCGTACTTTGGTATTTCATTCAGGCATTTAACAAATACATTTTGGGTATCGACTATACGCCTAATGCTAGAGGTAGTGTGGTTAAGGCTGCAAGTTCTGGAATCAGAGGCTCTCAGTCCAAATCCTGTATCCACTGCTTCATGCTGGGCCTCAGTTTACTCACCTGTGAATAATCTTAGCAGACGCGTAGAGTTAGGAGTCAGGTTGAAATCACCATGTCAGAAGCTTATGTGGAACTGGACTCATAGTAAGAAATCAGTAATAATTAAACCTTATTTTAGGTGCTATAAGTGATTCCATAGGATGTTGTCCTGCCTTATCTGAGCCCACATAGCCTGACTTTTTCATGAGCGTGTGTGTGTGCCTTACCTCCAGCAGGCTGTCTATGACTTCCCTGAGGACAGACCCCAGTATCAGTCCCATCTGTCACCTCAACTGCACTTAGCACAGGGTCTGGAACCCTCAAGGCTTCAGTGACTGGGGATGGGCATCAGTGGTCTCTAACCAATGCCTATGGTTAGTGCATCATCGTCATCACAGCCAGTGTGACGCCAGTCCTCACTTTCCACAGTGCACCTGCATCTCCGGTCTGCCAACCTCCCTGTCTGCCACGTGTAGCGTATCCAGATGCAGAATTATGAGACTGATGAGAAGTTACCACAGGCTGAGTGTTCCGCCTCCCTCCGCCCCTGCTAGCTGTGTGGCAAATGCAGGTGGCCAGAGCGTCTTGTGGCTGAATTTCTCAGCAGAACAGGGAGCCGGGGCTGGGAGCAGGTGGGCATATGTGAAGGGTGGTGGCTGAGAGGCAAGAAGAGCCACGCCTCTGAAACCACACGGTGGACGTTGGCCTTTCATTTTTTTTTTTTTTTTTTTTGGCAGGCCCAGAATCTAACCTCTCCTTTCCTGTTTTGCAAGAACCCTCATTATGTGGGTCTTCCTGGGAGGCAGGGCCCTGGCTCACACAGAGAAAGCTCAAGGCCCAGCCTTCCCGTTCCACGTCCTGGCCTTCAGGGCCTGGACACTGGGCCAGACTTTGCCTTTGGGCTGCCAGCTCGGATTAGTTCAGAATAACCCTGGTTACATCAGGTTATCTCAGGAGTCTTAGACGGATAAAGAGACCAACTCAGCAAGCATATCTCCACCCCATTTCAAGCCTCTGAAATGTCTATCCAGTTCAGAGCAGAATCAAAGCAGGTGTGTCCTTTGCAGCCAGCTGGCCGGCCTTTCCTCAGCTCATGCTTTGGTTCTCAGTCTCCTCTATTTTTTTTTCTTTTTTCTTTCCTTCCTTCCTTCCTTCCTTCCT